CAGTTATGTTATTCCATATTATTCCCATAAACACATAAAATATAAAAATATTTCATAAAATATTCAGTAAAATCTTTAATCAATTCTACAATAAATCGAAATAAAATATTCTAGAAATATCTCAGAAAGTAGAATATTAAATAACCTGTATTAGAGAATCATCAAAGGAGGTTAACTTCCTTGTTAATTATCCTACCAAAATTACAATTAAAAAAATAGCAATTTATATTAATACAGATTTTTAGATTACTAGAATTGAAAACGTTGGTTTAAAAAAAGTGAGATTGCGAATATTGAAAATGCTGTCAGAATTATCGAATATAGATTACAATAAAAGTACTTACCCCAAGAGAATTATGCAGACCATAAAATAAAGCTTATAATATTTCCTACCTTTCTTTATAAATTTCAATTACTGACAAAAAAAATATATTCCCACTACGACAGATGATTGACAGAAAGTAAGTGGGAGATTAGAATGAAGTATATCCCAGATGTCATAGGGTGTATGCCTAGAATGGAATTAGCTCTTCTGTCAACATACAACAGAATATTTACTAGCGAAAAGAAAGAGAGAGGGCGAATATTTATTCTATCGGAAAAAAAGAGAGAGGAAAGAAGGAGAAAGAGGGCGCCAACTACTTTTTTAAAGAAGAAATAGTAAAAAAAAACTGAAGGTAAAGGAATTAATAAATTAATAAATAAATTAATATAAAACAATTATTTAAATATAAATTAATAAAGATGTGACGTTTATAACGTTACAATTTAGTAAACATAATCAAGATTAGGAACAGGTCACATACCTCGTTTATCACTATAATTCTCCTACCTGCGATTTCTCCATAACCCTTTTGTTAGTGAAATATATGTTTACTAAATGCACAAAATACACTACCACTGCTTAAATACCCAATGTGAAAAGGCCCCTTAAAGATTTACTAGCACACGGTAATACAGAGAAGATTATCTAGTTTCCTGTCTCTCTAAAATATTCCCACTTCCCACACATTTAAATTAATCCGATAAAGCCAACTCGGTACTAATTGTCTACCATACTTCTTCCCATTGAACAGACAGAAAAATAATCCTAAATCTTTTTTCATTCCCCTTCTCCTAATTTATTTTAATTTTTTTTTATTTAATAAGAAAAATCTCAGAACTAGATGAAAGAAATAAAAATAGACGTAAAATGCATTTTAGTTTAATAATTATTGTAAGAGTAAAAGCATGTCTGTGATACGTTAAAAAAATAGGCCAACACACACTTTTTTTCAAACAATCTCTCACCACCTGCGTTATTTTTAAAGCCACTGACGCTATCGTTACGTTTTTTTTTTGGCATATAGAACGGAAAAATACAAAGCAATAAAACCAAATTATCACCTGTAAGAATCCAAAATGTATATTTTGATCATCAGCGGCAACAGCCCGTAGCCGTACAACCGCTCCCGTAGCAGCCAATTTACAAAATCAGAATTGCAAATATGGAAAAGCACCGTTCTATTTCCCCAAGTGAGAAAGAGATAAATCAATGGAGAGTGACAATTTGTGTTGACAATGAATGCGCACGGTATGTGTTTTCAACATTGGCGGATTCGGTGGGTTTGTTTTCTCTATGCCAATCAGCGCGATAACGAAGTACAAGTTGTTATTAAATGTATCAGGTTATACAATATATTCATTTTATTAGAAAAAACTGTAGATTATGTATTTTACATATTTTATGCAAATGTCACAATTGTATTGAGCTTAAACATACTTTTAAAATACAATAATACATTTGTAACACTACTAGTAAATTCCATTTAAATAGGATTTATAATTTATTATCTGGGATATATATATATATATATATATATATATATATATATATATATATATATATATATATATATATATATATATATTATTGTGATATTTAAAGTCTTGGTGCGCCAAGTAATTAATTAGCTAATTAATTAATTAATTAATTAAAATTATTTAAAAGATATGACTATGATTCTATCACACTTTTTTATTCTCTTATCTCAGGGTTCTATTCGTGCTTCAATATCTATGCTATTACATGTGAAAGATAAGGTCCAAAGAATACCGGAATAATAAAAAACATATAGGATCTAACATTATATATTGAAATAAAAAATAATGAAATAAAATTCACACTCAAATGTTTTCAATAAACAATATCTCATATAATGATTCTCAAAATTTTGTTCTACGTACGTGAACCTTCAAAATTAATGGTACAAACAATATTAGTTAAAATCTCAAAATCCCAATTATTATTATAAGTCCCCTAATCAAAATGTTTATATCTTTTCTAACGTAATTGAAAAAATTGTGTTATCAATGAAAGAAAAACTGCAGAAAAACAAAACTATCTCTCTATGATGATGAGTGGTCCAAATCTTTGTTCCTTGTAGTCTACACTATCTTTTCATAACAGCTCCCTAGGTCATCAGCAATCTTACAACAAATTATTGCAAGTTTATCGTCCTTAATGATCTCCTTCAAATGCAAGAATCGTTCAATTTATGCTAGCCTCTTCTCCTTTCGATAAACTGAATCTCTCGTTGGCCTGAGTGAAAAATGACTCTTGGAATATATTTTCTTTATATGAATATATATATATATATATATATATATATATATATATATATATAATATAATATATAAAATAAAATATAAAATAATAATATTATATAATTTTTATATTAAATATATATTTTTATTTTTATTTTTATTTTATATTAAATAATAAATAATAATATATAATATAAAATAATAATATTCCAAGAGTCACTATTCAGGCCTCGTTGGCCTGAATAGTGACTCTTGGAATATAAGTAGAAAATATAACTTACAATCTTTTACTGGATCAGCTTCTGTCAGATACACTAACTACACGAAAACTCACAAACTTTTACTGCTACTGCTTCCTACCTCTGGTAAACTACCCGAGAACAACGGCCGTTCGCCCTGCACCCTTGGAAACCAACTGACTATCTTTTTTTTTTTTCTTCAAAAACTAACTAAAGTCTCATTCTCAAACCAAACCTCCCACCTTTTCCAATCTCATCCAATCAAAACGCTTCATACATCTTTCATTTCTTTATTTCGATAAAACACAAATTTTTACCTACAATTATAAAATTTCCTAAAACTTGTTTACAAAATAATATTTTCCTACCAATTCTTAAAAATTAACAAAAACATATCTTTCTAAAATCTTTTTTATTGTCCTAATTACTGCACAACATTTATTTGGAAAAACCGCTTCAATTGTCTATGGATTTCACTTCAGCTTATTCACGTCATACAAATATATTTTAACAAAGAAAATAATTTATGCATATCTTACGTTCTGTTAAATACAGGTAATCCAAAATTAAAAGACTTTCATTCTTCGAAATGTTTGTAGTTTATTGTTTGACTTCTCTGAATTATTTTAATGTTTTTGAACTTTGAAATATTTTAAGCAAACCAATATTTTTCTCGATTTTACATATCATAACAATATATACCTATGCAAAGATTGGAAAGGGACAAAGCAAAAAGTGTATGGGAAACTATGGTCTGGGAAATCAGAACGAGAGAGCAGACCGTCTGTTACAATTCTGCCAAGAGCAGAACTTTATTATTACAAATAAATTGTTCAAGTTACTAAACAGACGACTGTATACATGGCGATTGTCCACAAATACATCGGAGAAAGTAGTGAGGAACCAGATAGACTACATTATGATCAACTAGACGTAGTCACAGATCACAATCTACTTATCGCCAAGTACACATTCACCCTTAAAAATATTCAAAGACATCTAAGAATCCCTACAATAGACACAAGAAAACTTAATTGTTGTTGTTAAAAGAACCTAATTGTTAAATTGAATTTAAAACATTGTCTACTGGAACCCTGTAAAGAAATACTAAAGACTTCCGCAAGGAGAAAAGAAGAATTAATGAATGACGTGATACTCAATAAGATGGAACAATGAAGACAATTTAAAAACAAGGACAACAATAAATACAAACAAATACAACCTGAAATACCCATAAAAGATGGTTTCATACTCTATCAAATCGCCATTTCATAAGGGTTATATGACAGATTAAGATCTAATCATGCTCTTACCTCCCTGCATATGTACAAGTTGGGTATCACGGAGTCACCTACTTGCAAGTGTGGAAAAGAAGGTAACCTATTACATATTTTATTTGAATGTCGATTGTCGAACCTATGCATCACGCTACCAGCAACAATGATGTGGCTTGGGATATATGCCCCATTTGCGTTCAGAAACGTGTAATCACTGTTGGAGATTCTAATGATTAAAAGTCTAGAAGATTTTTCCGTTAGTCAGATGCCTTCAGGGTTACTTAAGGGATCTTCGAATTGGGTGTGTCTACAGTTCAGTTTGCTAATGAGGAAACTTTATTTAGAGTAGAAAAATACTCTAAAAGTTCTAAAGAAAGCGGGCTCTCTGGATGTCTGTAGTAAGAGATTATCGTAAGTGTTTGGTTATTAGGAAGGTGCAGATTTAGTGCCAGGATGTCCACATTGGAAGGGGGTATGTTTTGCAGAAATTTGTGGGGGGAGTGTGGTAGTGAATAGAGTGTTTAATAAAGATACCATTCCCATGGGAAACTTGACATCGTTTTCGATAAATTGTTTTATATCCTGCAAAGGTTAAAGTGTTTAAAGTATGTCTGTGATTGCTAGATTTCAATGTTGTAATTTTGCAGGATATGTTTAATTTTGGGTCTCTTTTTGATGAAATCTTGGCAATATACTGCTTCCATTGTGAAATCCATACACAGGCTTTAAGAATTTGGGGTGAAAGGTCATTAGGAACTTATTGTTTTGGCCAGACCAAAACGATTGTGTTGCCAAAGATTTTCTCGATCACAGAGCTAGTAATAAATGTAATCAAGTCTCTTCTTCCAGGAAGGATGTTCAGTAAGACAATTGTGTTAAATTTGATTATGTTTTTTAGATCTGTGATTAGGTCGAATGGTGGAGTTGATCTTTTGATCGATAGGGGTTGGACTTGGTTGGAATTTTGTGGTTGCTCGTACCTTTTCAAGCATCGATTAGATTATGCAGGATGTTCGGAATTTGGTCATTTTGGATTGAGGCACTCGCTGGATTTATGGTTTTGCCCGCAGTTTGTGCAGATAAGGAAACGTAGTCTGCACTCCTATATGGTATGGCCATTTGTGCAGCATTTGCTGCAATATTTTGGAGTGGGTTATGATCAAATTGGTTCCGTGAGGGAGTTTAGTAAGATGGATAAGTCCATCGATTTGGATTCCGTAGTTCAAGACGTGAGAGTACTTTTCGGAAAAAGTTTTCAGGACTTTTATGAATTTGGGGTCCTTACCAGATCGTAGAGGTTTGACTCTCCATAATCTGGGGATAGGGATGTCTTGATCTATTGGAATATGCTTGAGTTCTTCCTCATAGTATTCGTCCGCTACGTTTATAATAAGGAAGAGGTGAGCAGTGGGCCTTGGGGTTTGATTAGAAGGAGCGTGGTTTCGATTTGTGACTTTTATTTGTATTTGTCCTGTTGCTTTATGAATTTTGATATCTAATACCTTATTGTCTACCGTCATTAAAATATAATTATGTTTACATATGCGTGTCGTTGGTGTTTTTGAAAAAGGTAAACTGGAGACATGGAATGACGTTTAGAGTTTTTTATTTAGTGGTATTTAATTAGATTCTGTGTATCTTTTTTATCATTAATTGCGTATACATACTTACTCATAACTATAGGAGTAAAAAGTTCGTTTACAAAAGTTGTAATTGTTTGATACAGGTAACTTATTAGACATTTTTAGAGTTCTGCCTGCAATAGCGATTCGTCGGTCTCTTCCATTGAAGATTTGTAAATGGAGTCAAGTTTTTCATTTCATCTGGTGATTTTATTTTTAATCTTAAATCTTGACAGTAATTGTATAAGTTAAGTCCGTTAATTGCGAGATATAAACGATAAGAAGTGTTGTGTAATGCATTAAGAAAGTAAGAAATGTCAGTGTTTTTTCAGGAGAAAATAAATATTTATTCTGAAGCTTATAACGTGGTTGTAATAGGTTTCTGTCATACCCACTTCCACTAGAAAAGTCAACTTGGAAACTGTAAAAGCGTGTCTACCATATTTTTCGTAGAGAGGTATATGCATATTCTGTTGTATGAAATTCTGAGTAATTCTGTAAGTTACGCAAATCAGACGTTACGTGGATCGACCAGTAATCCAATTCTTCTTCTTCATGTACCATGTCCTTTCAGAACGTTGGTTACCATCATAGCTATTTTAATTTTATTCATTGCCACCCTAAATAGCATGCTTGTATCTACACCATACCAATCTCGCAAGTTCTTCAACCATGAGGTTCTTCTTCGTCCTGGACTGCGTTTGCCTTCTATTTTTCCTTGCATGATATTTTGTAGCAATCTATATTTGGGACCTCTCATTACATGTCCGAAATATTCCAGCTTTCTCTGTTTGATGCTTTTTATGATCTCAGTAGTCTTGCTGAGACGTTCAAGTATTGTGGAGTTACGAATCTTCTCCACCCAGGAAACTTTTAAAATTCTTCTATAGCACCACATTTCGAAAGCCTCAAGGCGATTTAGATCGATTTTATTCACAGTCCAGGACTCGACAGCATAAAGTAAGACCGAGAACACGTAGCAGCGAAGTAGGCGGATCCTTAATGCCAATTTTAGGTCTCTGTTACATAACACCTTGGACATCCTTCTAAAAGCAGCTCTAGCCTGCTCTATTCTGGATCTAATTTCGCCGTGATTTTCTGCATTACAATTTAATTGCTGTCCAAGGTAAACGATTTTATCAACTTGCTCAAGTTTGGTATTATTTACATATATAGACGGTTTTATATTCTGTTGTTTACGTTACTACTACATCGTAGTAATCCAATTGCTACGATGTAATTGTGGATTTTGATGCCTTCTCAATGATATGTTCTCTCGAATCACCCCTTAAGTTTGCCGCACTTATTTACAAATGCCCTATAAATAAGCATAAATATATAATATATTTTTAATCAGTAACGTAAATTTTTGTTGATTAAAATGTTTAAATAATTTTGTTGCGTTATTGCTTAAACTATAAATCACATTTTGGAATATAAAAATACGCTGTATGGATATTTCCATATTTTTATTCTATCTACACCACTGCACGTCAACGACATTTGCAGGGTGTGTATTTTATTGTAGTTGCCATTTTGCGTGTCTGCATTACAACATTTTGTGTCTGCCGGATGTAAATTCCAATCACTGTACTGTGGGTCAGGAATTGTGACTAGACTGCTGTCATCACACTAGAATGATGATGCCATCAAGATTTTTATTGCGTAATTTTTTATGTAAATGTTTGTAAATGTTATTTTCATTCTTTATGGCTATTGTATTTCATTTCTTTTACCCTTAAATATGCCAGTGGAGAAACATACGTCAAATTAATGGTATTTGCGTATGTATATGATTGCGATGGTTATAAAAGTACACATATGAATAAATCCTCCCAAATTTTTTCGTACATTAACACCAATCTTATTTTATCAGGGTTAGCTGAAACAATTATTATTACACAATTTGCGCAAGCTAAATATTTTATAATACTATGTAACAATTATTAGGTATGTTCTATATTGTTTATAAATGAACCACAATAAGGTGTACGTATAGTCAAGAAGTTGCTAAAATAAAGAAGTCTATGGGAACTGGAACGGGAGCCAGTAATATGTACAAACCAAAACTTGTCTGGTGCACTGTAGCTAATATTGTTCTGAAGCTATTTTCTTATGACATTTTAAAGTAATTACTATTTTAATGGAATAAGCCACAATTAAAGGTTAAAGTAAGTATATTGACGTTTTAATTTCCACATAAAATAAACAAAAATCAATAAACTTACGTTAACCTTTAATTGTGGCTTATTCTTATTTAAATAGAAATTACCGTAGCTAATAGTTTTTAAGAGAAAGTTTGGAAGAAAATGAGTCAGAATCAAATTTGGTAAGTTTTATTTTTCCCTTAATTTTTATATATAACAAGACTAAAAAGATGCTGATGTATTTTTGGAGTGTTTTCTCTATTTTTTCATTATGTACTGCCAATCGACTGCCTCTTCATCTAATAAATAGTTAGCTAAGTTATCTTTTTTTTGCCGAGCTTCAGGCACATAGTTACGCTGCAAAGTTGCACTTAAATTAACTAGACCATTTGAGTTTACACTGCACCAATTGCCAGGAATTTTTTGCCTTGTTTCATTATTCTCAATATCTGCTGTTACTGTTGTATTATATCCCACTTTTCGTATCCAGTTGTGCAAAACACAAGCAGCTTTTACTACTGCGTAAAGAGCAAGTAATATTGGGTATCTAAATACACGAAAATGGGCTGACACGATCTCAAACACATTTTCTACTACATGTTTTGCCGTACAATGTCTATAATAGACTACTTATTGGGCAATAGTTAATTGATTCCGTAGGAGATGTGGCTTTATTAATTATGACTTAAGTGAAAATGCTTCATCTTCTAATGTAACAGATCCGTTAGGTTGGTTTAATACATTTTCGTCAATTGGTTTTCAAAGAGAGGACTTGGCAAATATTCCACCATCTGAACTGCTGCCGTAACTCCCAATAGAACAAATGTGAAATTATAGTTGTGATTCACCAGTGACAGCAGTACAAAGTTAAACCTTCCTTTTTAGTTAGAATAATAAGAACCGGAATTAGAAGGGCACTTTATAAATACATGCTTTTCGTCAAGTGCTCCAATACAATTAGGAAATCAAAATCCACAAGGAAAATAATTTCTGCAGCTGGCTGTGTGTCACAAAAAGAGGTTAGATCTTTGTAAATGGGTATATTTAAAAACATGGGTAAAAGGGGTGCATCAGTTATACGAATGTTTTCGGAATAAAAATTCCATAATCAGGTTTAAAATTGCAAATCGACATGCCTGAGTCACCAAAATATCAGGGTAAAAACCCTTTAAATTATATATGTTTGATTGTACATAATGTTGTTAATCACATTAAATTTGATGTTTGATATTAATTTAAATTTGAGTTCAGGTAACAAACACACATGTTTTAGGCGAGTTCCAGTGGCCGGAGAGTAAATCTCTTCAAACGGGCTCCAGCTGGTAACTGTTATCAGTTATTTAAAGGGTTTTTACCCTAATATTTTGGTGGCTCAGGCATGTCAATTTGCAATTTTAAACCTGATGATGAAATTTTTATTCCGAAAACGTTCGTGTAATTGATGTACCCCTTTTAAGGGTTTTTAAATATACCCATTAACAAAGATCTAACCTCTTTTTTTAATTAGGAAATTATCCTAATTGTAGTTTCAAATACATTTATTACTTTGTTTCACTAATTTTTCCTTAGGAGTACCTAAAAACTGGAAAAACGTTTGTCAAAACAATTCTAACTAACTGGAAGAATTCGAACGTAGTTTTGAGGTTCGAATCATTTTATAATGTCCCTGTGTCCGCTTCTTGTCGATCGACGATGATAAATATAATAAAAATTTTAAGTTTTGGAGTAAAAGTGTTGGTTTAATGGACAGCTACTAGTAATTACACAATATGATGTTCGTTAGGTAACTACTTATGATAGACTGTGCTCACATGAGCTTAAATCCCCAATTTATATTCTCACAAATAATTCATACCTCAGCATAGAGGTTATTGCTTCTACCATACCATACCAACAAACTTTGAACTATTAGCTTACATTACAATTTAATCTAGGCCGTAATTTCGACACTTAGTAAGTTGAATTAAAAAATATATTATTAGGTAATTTATTGAGTTGTAGGTAAATAAACTAATTATTAAAATATTATACAATATGGTTTTTGCAATGTCTCACTTATACACGATGAAGCTATAAAAGATTAAGAACTTAAGAATAATGTGAGATTACAAATTAAAGGATTAATTTGTCATTGAAAACTTTAAAATTAAATTTAAATTTTAAATTAAAAATAGTATCTATTTAATTTAACAATTTTAAGTTTAACAAGCTTAATGTACAGCTCACATCTGATCAAGAAACCCCTTCCGTCTATTCAGTTAAGTTAATTCAGACAAATCGCAAGAGATCTGCAAGTAAAGGAACAAAGAAGAGGGATGATTTTTTAAATGAGACTGTAAA